AGGGAGCATACATCTAGTGGAGTGAGAGCATTCAAAGTGAAAAGAGCAATGGATTGGTAGGTAAGAAAAGGAACTCACCCACTTTGGGGTGTTCAGTTTTAGCATCTCTGGGATGCTAAAAGAAAGTTTTTCAGATAACATATATGGGTGTACCTGGAGTAGAGGCTCAAAAAGTACTTTAGAAATCTTAATGCTGGTCTGTGTGGTGTGGGGCCTGTACAGATAACCTGTCCAGGCCTCCCCTGCGCACCATCGTTCTAGCTCATTCTAAGAGCCCCTTTTGTTGAGCTTCATGATGATCACTATTCTATGAGTGGCTCATTCTCAGGAAAGGGGTTTGGAATTCAGGTTATCCCACAAAAAGGATGCTAATCCCTTGGGGCTTTGGCAAAGCTATCTCCAGATTTTAATATTCTTATTTTAAACTCTGAAAGAACCCATGTGTCCTCTGGTATAGCACCAAAATAACTATTTCTGTTCACTATTCATAGCAGCTCTACTTTCTTTTAGGTTTATCAGCTCGAACTAGGTTTTAAACGTAATGAAATCCAGCATATGATAACCAGAATCCCAAAGATGTTAACTGCAAATAAAAGGAAACTTACCGAGACTTTTGATTATGTGCACAATGTGATGAGCATTCCCCACCACATCATTGTCCGGTCCCCTCAGGTAATGAGCGCACTACCCTCTCTGTAAGGCAGTGCACAGTGCTGTTCCCTTGTGAAAATCCCTGGCTGTTTCTGACAGAATTGGACCAAAGGCATTGTAGTCTAAGATATATTGAGATTGTATTTATATCAGAAGTGGAGTGGAGTAGGTAAATCACTGTGAAAAGCTTACACCTTTCAGAGTACACATGTATATCTGAGGAGAAATAAAATGATTATTTCTCTGTAATTTTTGCCTTTACCTGGTTTTGCCTTTTGGAAATCTAATTTAAATGTGAAATAGATCACTTCCCTTAAAACGCCTTTATATGCTATATGCAATGTATTCACAGACTAAGTCCATTAATTAACAAGCCATATTGTAATGATCTCCCAAAGTATAGAAGAATTCCAGTTTGTTATGCCAAAGCCATGATTATATTTTCTGAGCTAATCAGACTTTCCTATTCTTTGCCTGTGACACTATTGCTTGCTCACAAGAATGTTAAAGTGAGGTTCTGGCCATGACCAGTGTTCCCAATATATTGGAGATATAGCCAAGAGAAGAAACAGACAAAATACTGAATGTGCTTCATATGGGCCTGCTGGGGTGGGGGCGACGCACAAACATCTCTTCAGCTTCAGGGCTCTATTTCTAGTCTGGCCAGATCCCCCAGTTCTCCCTTCTTGCAGGGAACGGGTTGTAGGGATTTAGTCTGCTTATAAGTACTTTTTTAAAGTTGCTGCCACTCACTCTACTTCTTGGGAGTTTCAACTTCAAGATTGGTAAGACATACTTTTCCTAGTCGCTCCTTTAAAATTTCAGGTTCATTTCATTTTCATAATAAACAGAAGCAGCAGCAGGAATTAAAAAACAGAATTATAAAATCTTGCTTATTATTTTAATCAGAATTTCCTAGCACAAGCTATAGGATTTAAACTCTGTGGCATTTACCATAGTTACTGAGCATTTGGTCAGTAATTTATATTTGTTAGCCTAGTAGTACTTTTAACCAAATAAACAGTGTATCTTTCAATTCATAATTTTTTTGACTTTTTTTTTTTTCTTTTCTAGATATTTAATACAAGGTTGTTTAAAGTCAAAGAAAGACATTTGTTTCTTAATTATTTAGGAAGAGCACAGTACGATCCAGCAAAACCTAACTACATCTCTTTGGACAAATTAGTATCTGTGCCTGATGAAACATTCTGTGAAGAAATGGCCAAAGCCTCAGTAAAGGACTTTGAAAAATTTTTAAAAACTCTTTAGTTTTTGATGTTAAAATGTAAAATGTAAAGTGAATGTATATATGAATAAATGAATATGTTTTTAAATAAACGACTCAGGCCTTCCTTAATATTGAAATAACTGGTTATTATAAATTTGAGCATACTTTTAATAGGTTCTTCTTACATGTTCCCAGTGACTTGACTCAACCACTTCCTTCCTTCTCAGTAAAGAGAACTAACAGCATGGCAAGCTTAGGGAAAGATTTAGTTTACTGTAGGTTAGTGCATTGTAATTCTGGTAGATTTTCTGACCCATGTTCACAGGTCTTCTGAGGTGGTTTCATCTCTCCTAGAATGTACTGTATTTATCTACTATCTGCTACTCACTTGGGTAACACTATGAAACACATTCCATTTAGGATGTTGTCACAAAGCAGAACCTCAGCTGCTGTCCATAGCTGGCTACTGAGAATCAGGAAGGAAAAAAGTAGTTTATAAGTAGAAATCAATGAGACATAGTAAAGGGTCACAACAAACCTGTGACTTACTCCAGTATGCGAAGATTTATAGCATGAATTGATGTTTTGTTTTTTTCCCATTTACCACTTAGGTAATCCTGGGTAAATAATTGAATTTCTGAGTTTAATTCTTATTTGTCAAATGAGGCCACCTGCCTTGTTCTCTGCTTTAGGATCACAAGATTGATACACTGTTAACACTGGTGGAAACACACCTGGTATCTACTCCCCTCTCCTCACCACACTGAGTCTGAGCCAATGGGATTTGATCTGTGGGACGTTACCAAATAAGCTTGATAAGTACTTGCACTTTGGGGCTTGTCTTCTTGGAACATTTGCTTTGGAATCCTGAACCACTAGATAAATAGGTCTGGTGGATATTACTGAAGAAATGAGGTAGAGAGAAGAGATGCCTGGTCAAATCTCAGCCATGCCACCGAGGCACCAGATGTGTGAGTGAAGAAGCTATCTTGGATATTCCAGCCTCAGCAGATAACACATGAAGCAGAATTACTCAGATGAATTCAGAGAATTGAGAGAAATAATGTTTTAAACTACTACTAACATTGGGGGGGTCATTTGTTGTGTACCAGGGCTTCGTGATGTATCAGATGTCCTAAAGCCTGGTGGTGTTACATTCTACTTGAGCAGGGCCAAGTATAGTGCCTTTCCTGTTAGGTGTTTTATTCATTTGCTCAACAGACATTTGAGTTTGTAGAATACAGTGGTGAGTGTGGAGTACATATGTGCCTTCATGGAGTTCTCTAATGGATGAGCTCGATAAACAGGAAACAACAAGGAAGATACAGCCAGGAGACAAAGCATGAACAATCCTGCCTAATCTATGTTCAGAACCTCATTATGCCTTCATTTACAATCCACTCATACCAATGAGATAGCTAAGAGGAACAGTACTAAAACAACATGATTTAAAACCAAAGTAATCTCTATCATACCTGTCTAACTTGGTGTCCAAAATGTTCCACATCTTTAGCGATAGAGGTTGGTGGAAATTCCAAGTCTGGAGAATAGGCCAGTCTGTGGAAGGGAAAAGAAAATGTAGAGAATCACTCTTAACACATTTTTCTTGGCTAAAATGTCACATGGACACACCCAGCTTTAAGGTGACAGAGACATAAAATCTTAACTATTGATATTTAATGTGTTGGGAGGGAAAAATACTTTCAATCGACACTAATGTTACCAGCAAAGATTCAGGTTCCCTACACTTAATGCCTTAAGAGATGGTTTTGTGACAGACTTGCCACCTTCACTCTGTAACCAGCAAGTTGAAGCTTAAGGGGTAAAAGGAAAGAAGAGTTTATTGAATATGTCTTGTAAAGCAATGTGCAAGTGTACAAATGTACTGCTTTATATTTTCCAGATTTCACTTTGTTTAGTATGGTCTGGGTGCAGTGCCATATCCAGGACTGAGTATAGTACTATGAGATATGGTGGCACAGAGAAGAATATGCAGAAGCAATAGTATTTCAGAACTGGAATGTAACTAAGACCACTAACCTTTTGAATTTACCATAAAATACAGTTCTGTATTGACTCAGGTCTCAGCTTAAACTAAAGAAATCAGATATTGGACTATAGATGGAATTGTGTGTCCCACTCCCACCCCCAAATTCTTAGAAACCCTACCCCTCAATGTGATGGCATTTGGAGATGGCATATTTGGGAGATAATTAGGTTTAGATGAGTTCATGTGGGTGGGATCCTCATGCTAGGATTAGTAAATTTGTAAGTGACACAAAAGAGTGTACTCTCTCTCTGCCATGAGAACACAGTTGAAAAGCTAGCTTTCTATAATCCAGATAGCTCTCAACTACAACTGTTCACGCTGGCACCTTAACCTTGGGCTTCCAGCCTCCAGACTGTAAAATAAGCTTCTGCTTAAGCCACTACAGCATAGCATTTTGCTAAGGCAGCCTGTAGCTAACAGTTAACCAAGACAGCAACTGTTGAGAAGCTGACCAGTAACTGAATCATTCATACTAACTTCCCCCATTGTTTTCTGCCCCTATATTTTTAAGCTCTAGACATGGTTTGCTGGGGTTGAACCTAAAAAGTGTACTTGCTTCTACCTTGCAAGCAAATTCTGCCATACATGTTAGATTTCGTATTAGAAACATTTTTTTCCTAACCTACCCTAAAATGATGTGGCCAGAGAGGTTTAGTAGTGTATTATATTGCACCATAACTAAGGAGCCCAAAAGCTTTACCTAAATTCTCAGATTCTGGAGGATGAAATCTGTATTATTCCTAGCTGTGTATCTTTGGACGATTTATCCAACCTTTTCTAAGTCTCAATTTCCTACTCTCTACAAAGAAGATAATCAGAGTATTTTCCTTAGAGATTTATAATTAAAAGAAAATGTCTGTAAAACAATTACTTGGCCCAAAAGGCACAATTAATATACTTCCCAGACTCACAGCTCACCATCAGCAGAACCCAGCTTAAAGGCCCAGAGCCCTAATTCCAAGTCCAGCTTTCTTCCCATTGGCTAGACCCATGCGGGAGGACCGAACGGCAGGTGCCCTAAGCAGAACAGAACTGCGCGTGCGCGGGCGCGGGCGGCCTCCCCAGCCTCACGACGCGACGTAAAGCGACTGCGCCGTGGGCTCAGCGCGTCCTCCAGGACTTACCCAGTAGGCAACGCGTCAGTCTCGGGTCAAAATGGCGGGCAGGCCAGCTGGTAAGTGACTGGTTTTCTGTCTGATGGGCATCGCAGGTCTCACCCTTTTGTTCTCTCAGCAATTTGCTCCTCTTCCTCTGCCGGGTGAGTGGCCCGGCTTGCGGCTTTCGGAAGGCGGGAGCTCCGGTCCAGCGTAAAAGACCGCCTTCCCCCCACCCCACCCCTCCTGCTGCCCCCGGCTCGGGCTCGCTTAGTGGGTTGTGATGGGGACTTGCTGCTGCTCGTCAAGGGGCCCGTTTGGCTCCGAAAACCCAGGCGTTCCAGCTGCCGGTGCTCGAAAGTTCTTCTCCCCGGTCTCCAGTAACTCAAGGGCACAAGATAACTAGTCAATGACTTTGAACCAGAATGAGCCGAGTGCTTATTGTGAGCGAAGCTTTGACACGAATATTAGCTCGGAATCGGCCAGTGCGACGAGGGAGCTGTTAATTCCCCTTTACACTGGGATAATTGCGGCGAAATGACCCGAGGAAATCGAATCCGAACCTCCTTTCAACCCTCGCGCTTCACAGATCGGGAAATAGCGCTAAGCAAGGGTTGCAGTGAAATTTCAGTTCAGCCTTGGCTTATCCAGAACGTCAGCTTGATCTGTAGATTTGGAGGAATTTATATTTAAATTGTAGGCACTGTGACAAATACATTATGGAACGATAGAAAAATTAACAGTACGTTTAAAACAACGCAAACGGAGTATTTTCTCTTTGTATTTTTTGCCAGTATCTGTCCTCTAGCGGTTTACGTTGGAATAGTTTTTAAAAGATAATTGGTTCCTTTCTCCCCGCCCTCTGCAATGGTGACATCAGATAACTAGAAAACCTGATGACCCGAAACTGAAGCTTTAACTAAGCGACAGCGAGCTCTTGGAGGGTTGGAGAGACATCTAAGAATTTATTAGTTCGTTAATTTGACACATATAGAAAGCATTCTGCTTCTGTGCTGTGTCGGGAAACAGACCAGTCTCAACTCTTTCACTAGCTGGCTCTCGTCTTGAATACTTGGATAGGATAATTTCTGAAGGTTTATTCTTCTGCAGCGACAGGAGTGTTGGTGGGCTGGGGGCGAACTAATGTAGGTAAAGCAAGTAGGATGTAGTGTTGGCACACGGTAAGTGGTCAGTGAATATTAATCTTGATCACCATCACTGGTAAATATATTTACAAATAATTTGTCTTCAACAATATGTGTGTTGATTCTTTGGTACTTGTTTTTCTAAAAACAGTTTTATACTTTTGGTGTTTAATTCCCAAGGAGATTTATCAAAGCCATATTATCTGTGTGAACTAAGGAGTAAGGGGTAATGTGGGATTTTAAAGGGGAGTTTGGTTGCCTTCCATGCTAAGGGGCTAACCTAAGACAGAATTTTAAAAGAAAATTTAAACCTGTTCCATCTTCCTTCTGTACCACATTTCTCCTGTAAAGGTCAGGCACTAACTATTGTGTTGCCCTTAGCTCCTGCTGTGTTATCCCATGGGTTCAGTCTTGTTCTCCAGTTTCCTTATCCATTATCAGATATCCATTCTGTTGATGGGTTAACAACTTGGGAGGAGGAGAATGGGCTTCTTTCATAATTCATATTAACTTTGCTAACTAATGGTATCAGAATTTTCCCAGAAATATGTATAATATTAAAGAGAGTTGCTAAGTGAAGGTAGTGTAGAATAGAAATTTTGGAGGAAGGTCATTTAGACCTTCCTGAAATCTTACCTTTTCATACAACTTTAACTCCCTCTACAAGTTCTGTTATTTCCTGTCATCTGTGAAACTAGGAATGACAGGAGTTCTGAGTCCCTTTCCCATTTTCTACCCCTTCAGATCTGATGGTAGCAGGGGAACATGAAGAGATGGCAAGTTTGCCATTAAAAGGCTAAAGTGACGATAATTATGTCTGTAGGTCATTTGTACATTAGCCTTTTTTTCCCATGACTTGCTGCCCAATTGTTACTTTTGTTCATAAAATTTTATTTACAATATTTAGAGTATATGTGCTTTTAACAGGAGGTTTCCTTTCCATGTTTGCATTCTCTAACAAGGTGACTATAAAAGTACTTGTTCCTTGCCTGTCAACCTGTTCATATAGCATAAGTGAATTATGACTACTAACAATGTTACAATTACCAGTTTCAGCATCAGGCAGGTGGCTGGACGGTATTCGAAAATGGTATTACAATGCTGCAGGATTCAATAAACTGGGTGAGTATCTGTGATTTTGTTTTTATTTTTCTGAGAGTTGTGCTTTTGCAAGTAGTTTTGGATGCAAAAGATACTTGAATTGTACATGTAAAGATTTTAAAATCAGGTCACTTTTTATTATTGAATAAATTTCTTTTTCATTATTTTGAGAAAAGAGGAATGGAATTGTCTTATATGTTTGAGGTGGGAATGATTTATGTTCTTATATATTGCGACCCTAGATCTCCTTATATGTTACTTCACCTATTTCCTCTACTTAGCTTTTTAAATTTTAAGCAATATGAATTTTGAAAGTAGAGGTTTTTTGAATATTAAAATAGCCTGACATCTTTACAATCATCTGATGCCTGAACTTTTTTTTACAAATTTATAATTTGCCATAGCTTTTATTTTTTTGTTCTTGATGGAAGTGTTGTTAAATGTTATTGGTTCCTTAATACACTATCATTTTAAGATTTTTTTATTACCTTGATCTCAGGTTTAAAGTATAAGAAAGTAGAGCTGTGGTTTATTGATGTGTGTTTGAAAATGAGACTTATCAGTAAATATTTTAAATATTGTAAGAAATAACCCATTGAAAGCCCATCATTATGTATGAAATACATTTTCTGTCATACCTAACCCTTGATATTTCACCCGAATCTTAAATTATTATGTTAGTTTACTCATTTAAAAAAATGTTCTTGTTTTTAAGATGTGTATTCACTCTACCTTGTTTTCTGTTAGGGTTAATGCGAGATGATACAATATATGAGGATGATGATGTAAAAGAAGCCCTAAAAAGACTTCCTGAAAACGTTTATAATGACAGGATGTTTCGCATTAAGAGAGCACTGGATCTGACCATCAGGCAGCAGATCTTGCCTAAAGAGCAGTGGACAAAATACGAAGAGGTAGCACAGCTTTTATGGACCTCATAACTTTGGCAGTTAAAGGTTTAGCATATAGAAAGAGAGACTTACTCATGGTTTAGTGCTTTAGAGTTCTTAAAGTTCTGTCAAATAAATATCCTTATAGAATCCACCTTGGTTAATAGCTCCATGTCTGGAACTCAGATGGAAATCAAATGGAAATCAGCTCCAATTTATAGAGAAACATTTGAGACTTAAGAGGTAAAATGACTGTTCCAAAATCACTGAGCAAGTTTCTCAGATAAAGACCCATGACTAGAATCCACATCTCAGGCTGCTGTTTTTCTCCCTCTACACTGCTTCCTGACCAGATGAAAAGTTGGTGGTGGTTTTCCCTGTGATTAGCCAATGAGTGGCCTTCTAGCTCCCATGAAGGATTTTGTGACGCAAACAAGCCCTTGCCCCTTGAGCTGCGTTGAAACTAGACATAGGCATCTGGACATTCATTTCTTTTTCTTACAGACTTTCCCCTCACAACATATCAAAGCAACTTACTGATAGTATCTACATTTTCGAAAAGCAGGCTCATCTTGGTCAGCTTGAGAATATATTTTCTTAAATTAGAAATAAAAATAGGTTTTGATGAGTTTTATTTATGGTCAGTAAGTGTTTGATCTGTATGTGATGGTGGCATATAATATTTGTAATTTTTATTCTTTAGGATAAATTCTACCTTGAACCATACCTGAAAGAGGTTATTCGGGAAAGAAGAGAGAGAGAAGAATGGGCAAAGAAATAATCATGTAGTCAAAATCTAGGTGCAGCTGTCCACAAAGGATTTTTATGAAGTTACTTAAACCTCAAATGTATAATTATCTGAGTCGCATATGTATTACTTTAAATAAATATCTACTGTAATTGTTGGATTTTTTTCCTTCTAAACCTTATTCTGAATGATGACTAAATTCACCTATCATAATTCTCCCCAGATGTCTAAAATATTTTTTAGTTATTGCTTAACTGCTTCTTAGAGCTCAGAGAGGCCACATTAGTAATTTTTCTTCTCTAGTTGGATAACTTCTTAATTTAGTGATGACATATTCAATAGAACAGCATCCTTTATATTGCCATTGTAGTTTAGCAAGGTACTTAGAAGCCCCATTAGGGCCTATCTTGCAGGGATGCAGGAAAGCACCAGTGACTTCATTTTACCTGAAGCAAACAACACTCAATTGGCTGCCCGACTTCAAAGTTGCCAAATGAGAGAAGATTCCCCCCTAGTGTGCCAGGATTGGAGGACAGTCCTTTTCAGTCACTGCTCCAGGAAGAATTTGTTTCCCATCCTAGTTTTTCAATAACAAATTATGTATGCAGTCCCAAGATGGGGCTGCATAGGTTGTGTGTGTGTGACTGTGCTAATACATAAAATAAGAAACAATAGACATTCAAAAGCAAAGACAAATGTTACTTTACCCCCCCATATCTTAGTGACTTCCACTTTGGAAATTATTGCTGCGAAGCATAAGGATTGGATATAATAATGCTCAGTTTTAAGGTTATAGGCTAATTTTTAAAATATAAATTAGAACCATTTAATAAGGGAACCATTGAATCCCCACCCCTAAGTCCTACAATGTTTTTTTGTTGTTTTGGTGGAAATGAGCATGGAACAACAGCAAATAGGGTGAAAGGAGAAGGGTGTCTGATTAGGATCTTAAGCAACAAAAGTAAAAACAAATTTTGTGCAATACTTAAAATTCCTGAAACAAAAGTACATTTGGTATGATTTTTTTCCATAAAATAATGGTTGACATTTTGTGTATGTTTCACTTCAGAGCTTGAACATTAAAGAGTACTGAAAGATTTTTGATAAAATACTAGAAAGCCTCACTAAATTTCTTAAGAGCCTCTTTTTGATACTCAGATTATCTTCTGCAAAACCTCTCCTGGAATTCATATCAGTTTTCTGAAATGAAATTTGCCTAGATCCTCTTAATAATGGTTTTGGTCATGGTTAAAGCAATTCTCTTTTACTTAGTATTTTGTAGGTTGTGATTTGATTTTACAATCAGTTTGAATTATGTTGCTGGAATAGTGGAAACCACAGATGGTGGTAGATGCTGGTGTTAAAGGGTGTATTTGTAAGGGACTATTTGTGAAAGAGTTGATTAGAAAATATTTTTGTTTCAATATGCTTCCCTATCAAACCTAACTAGGTAATTAAGGTAAATTCTCAACCAAGGACTACCCTGTGTTTGAGTGCGCCAATTCCTATCCCCTCAGATTTTTTTTCAAGTAAATTTGAATCTCATACACTGCTGATTGATTTTATATTCATAATAACCCATTTGGATAACATTCTGCCAGTGTGTATAAGAACTGCAAAATAATTTTAAATTCTAGTAGCAGCCCACCATTTATTGACTAGATAACATTTGTCAATCCATGTGACAATATTGCAGTGAGATCAGTACTACTCCTTTACAAATGAAGCTAAGGCTTAACATTGGTCAAACAACTTGTCCAAGGCCTTGCATCCACAGAAATAGATGTCAATAGCTGAACTGCTTCTAAGAGTGGAAAAATTGAGCATATTTAATTTTTGATAATAAGATGTCATTAAGCTATAGTAAAGGAAAAGGTATATTTACGTAGTTTTAAAACTTGCAAACTGTTGTCAGTACTACAATTGAGCAAAAAATGAGGCTGTAACAAGATAAAATTCTCAACTTCATTAAAGGCTGAAGAAACACAAATGGCAGCAGTGATCTTTCAATGAGTAAGGGTGATCTTGATGCTTTTTCCTATAGTCATTTTTTTTTTTAAATAGAGGCATGTTTTATTTATTTGTTTGTTTGTTTGTTTATACATGCACTGGGTACAGTCAGAAGCACGGGAGGGTGAGAGAATTCACCAGAGCCAGAGCGGGGAGCAGAGCAGGCAGAAGGACCGAAGTGCACTGCTGAGGGGAGCAGCGGGCGGCAGGAGAGGTCTGCGCGCCATGTGGGACCCTCCTCTGGTGGCCGGGGAGCAGCCGGGGATCGAACCGGCGTCGCAGAGGCCGCGGGCAGCTTTGCAACCCAGTGCTCAACCGCTGCGCCTCCGGGGAGGCCCTCCTATAGTCATTTTTTTAATAATTGAGTAGTAATCACTTATAATAGAAAAAGTAATAGCAGATATTTATATTCTAATTCCAAACCATAGATTACAGGACCCACTGTCTAGCATTAGCTGCTTGTTCCAGAGGCTTTTATGTAAGGAGTAGTAGCTAGCAATAACATGAAATCCTTTTCCTGAAGCATTTGCAGACTGAATAAGGATGGCGGAACTGAAGAGTATCGTGCAGACTGTGCCCTTGTGTTCCCACATGACCAGTGCATTCCCTAGCACAGGGAATGAAATCTACCCAGGGGCGATCAAGATTCCCTGGAGTTTTGTAAGAAAAAGATTAGGTCACAGTTCGAGAACATTTCCATGTGGGCTGTTTGGCAGAAGGAAGTTGAGAAGAAAGGATTGTCCAGAACCCCTGTTTTTCAAAACCTATGCATTCTCAAAACATTTCCTTGACGAGGACTCTCCAGATGCTCTTTTAAGTTCAAGATCACTTTTGCGGGATTCTGGTTTCATTCAACCAGACATCTGATGTTCATCTTTACAAGGAGACCAGAACTGAGACATTTCAAACCAGAGTGCTGCAAAGGTGTAAGGGGGGGCAGCAGGAAGCTGGAACACTGACCTAGAGGCCATCTTATAAAATGCTGCCACGTTGAGAGCAAGCCTGAGGGCACCAATAAAGGACAGTGGCACAAACCTCTGACAAAGGTTGAGTGGTAACAGGAAGAAGAAATTCTGGACCAGCTGCATGCACAAGTAGGAGTGGCAGGACAGTGGGGCAACTTCTGACTTTGTGAGAGTTCTTCCTGCAGCCAAACTGTATGCTGATCCTAAATCACTCATTGCCTCATTCTTCTAAATGAGAAAAAGGCTGCAAAAGTTCTTTGAAAACTATGGAACATTATAGCAATGTTTTTACTGTTAATTATTGACATTGTTCTGCTAGTGAAGAATATAAAGAATAACACAAAGTACAACTAGTATTTGACCCATTGAGAGAGTAGCTGAAGGGGTAAGAATTTTGTTAATCTATCAATGAAAGCCTTTCATTTGAAGAGAGGGCTGTCCTGTTACTGAAAACTGTATTGTTTGAAAAATCAACTGTGGGAGTGTCTGAAACAGACTCCTCATTCCCTAGACAGAGTGGGTGAGCAATTCAGAGGCGATTATGGGTTACACTGCTCAGATCTGAATCCATTCATTCATTGTGTTACTTTAGGTATGTCATTTAACCTCACTATGCCTCAGTTCTCTCAGTTCTAAAATGGGACTGATGCTAGACCTTCCTTTATAGGATCACTGAAAATTAATAATGGATGAAAATTAACTGCCTTCATTATATGTAAAATAAAACAGATCCTTGCACACAGTAAGCACTGTGTAAGGGTTAGCTTCTTCACATGAGTAGGAGGAAGAATGAAGGTTCTGGGGAAATACTTAATAGCATCAAGTCTAATAGCTGAGTAGTTGAGGCCAGTTTCCCATCATCTCCTATATGGCACTCTCATTTCTGGTCAGTTTGCTCTGCTGGGATGTCTGACTTCCTTGAATGAGGTAGCCTTTTCCTAGGAGGAACAGGTGGACTCAGCTCTATATTGCGGCTTGATGAAAATGGAGACCAGGTTAGACTCTGATGTCTTCTTCTTTTGCCTTTTGTGTTGGTGATATTTTTTAAACTTCCAACCTTACGCATCCTACTGGTTTTCTTTGTACAGTGTAAAATGCTTGATAGCTTTTAATGTTTGATGTTGAGGCAGGTTTTGAGTATAGATTTCCTAGAACTTGAAGGAGGAGTTGCTTACTCTGCAAAGGTCCACTTCCTGTTTTTCAGTCCTTTGAAGAATTGTGAAAATTGCAAACAGCAGCTGCCTTATGTTCACTGTCCAAGTTCATGTTGTTGAAGTGCAGGAAGCAGAGTAAGGGATGTTGGGGCCTCAGACCCCCCAAATGCTGACTCTTATCCTATTCCCAAACTGCACAGAAATGTTTGAGAACATTCCGAAACTGAGTTCTCATGACCTAAGTATTCACATAATGCTCTATGAGTGCTACTAGAATGCTGGAGAAGGAATCGTCACTAACAGCACTATTGCCTGCTTTCAAAATCTAGATTAGTATAAAATCCAAAGTGTAAATTTTGGTAATGTAGCTGTTCACTTTAAAGCATTAACTCTGCACTAATTCTGACTTGTTAAAAGATCCAGCAATAAGAATTAAAAACTGGACCAAATCCTAAAATTCCTATAGTCATAAAAATACTTTATTCACAAACAAGATGATGTTAGTAACATCATCGTGAGTGTGGCTTTGAAAATAACTGAAGTACTCGGAATTTAAAAAGTTAGGAGGACATAAAACCTGCACTAGCAAAATCCTTGACAGCCTGGTGGGTAAAGCACAGATGGGTTTACACTGCAGAGGAAGCATGAAAGCAGGAACTACTGTATGAGTATAGTTGAAGGATGAGTAGATTCCTCACTAAACACAGGAAAAGAGTTCCTTCATTGGAATAAGTACTAAATTCTGCCGCTAGGTGGCAATGCACTACAACTTTACAACTTAAAATGTAGCCCCCCCCCCCCCACACACACCATTGAAGATTTATTCATTCTGTACCCCCGCTGACTCCCTCCCCTTCATTTTTCAGAATGACAACACCTTAGAGGTTTATGGCCATCAGGAGAATTTACCACTAAGCTATACACTGATGTAATGAAATCTAATATATGCTGTGCAATGAATTATGAGATGTTATTTAGTTTCAGGATTTTATTACTTCAATCAGTTATGACCATATTTCCTTTTATATGATTGCTCACTCTTTAAACATACCAGATGACTGTATAAGGAACACCTAATAAAGTCTATAGATGTTAAAATATAAATGTTTTAATTTATTTGCCATAATTTGTTTAAATTCTGGTTATACTGGTATTCATATTAAAAGCCATAACATGTTAGAATCTGAGACCTCAGATCATATGGTACCTCCAAATTATATTTTGTTAAGAAATTTCATTGTATATATTAGCAATTGAGCAGGAAAGAAGAAAAGAATCATTACAAGGTAGTTAATATTTAGCGTAGATTCCAGAGAGCCTGTTAATATTTGAAGGTCTTAGGTATTATGACAAACTATTTAAATTGTCATTCTGGATTGTGACTGTATCTCTCTTGCAGTAGAAAGAATGTAGTATTTGTTTAACTTTGTATTTTAATACATTTGCCTATTTTGCACAAATGCCAAAAATGTAATTTCAAAACAAATCCCTGCAAAATTTCTGGTAACATTATTCAATTGAATAATTGTCCTTTTAGTATTCTAACTATTTTAAAGAGAAATTTATACATATATAAAAATTGTATTTATAAGCCAAACTAAAAAAATAATTATTTGTTTTACATGAGTCAGCTTATAATTCCTTTTTGGTGCATGCATTTAAAATGTGGTTTGCTACTAAACTGTAAACTGAGATCAGATACTAATGATTTAGATAAGTCACTAACTTTTATAGATTTGGGGTTCCTCAGCTGTAAAATGAAGTTGTTTTGCTAAAAAGTCTTTAAGACTCACTTTAGCATCTAAAGATTCTGGGGCTGTAATTTAATCAGTGCAAGTAATTGTTGGGATAAATCATGAGGGGAAGAGCAACTTCGAATCAGGCTCTGCTCCTGTGTTGTCTCTTTTAATCCTCTTTGCAATCTTTGGCCTAGATATTATTACACACATTGTATGAAAGGAGAAATTGGTCTTAAAAATTTATTTTACCGTAGTTCATTCTACAATCTTTTGTTGTTAGTTTTGGTGTGTGTGTTTTAGGTTCTGGGCTAGACATAAGATAGATGTACAGAGGACAGGGTCTTCCTGGCCCCACAGTTGACACTGGTTGGATAGTTTCTGGGAAGTGATAATTCCCAGAATTTTCAAATTGGGTCAAGGGGGATGAACTTTAAAGTTTCTCAATACTAAAATGCCCATTTGCTTTTCAAAAAAATTATAATAATTTTTACTCCTCTAAGCAATTCATCAGGGTCTGTCTCACTGCACCTCTGGCTGCACTGAGCACTGTCATTTAACAATCTTTGTGAAATTGGGTGGAGACTTTGTTTAAATTTGCATTTCTTAGAGTGAGTAGCATTTAAACATTTTTCCACATGCTGTTATCATGATGTTTTTCCTCCTCAATCAATCTTATTCATGGCTTTTGTCTCTGCATCTACTTTTGTGTTCACAGCTTTTTCCTTGTGAAGTTTTTCTTTCAGTGCCCCCTTTCTGAAGTTTGGGTTAGTTCTTATCAATTGATACAAGACCTTCATGTATTTGGGCAGCACTCCTTTTACTTAAATTTGATAAAATGGCATTTTTTATTTTGTTGTTTCAATTTTATTTGGGATTTTTTTGTATGCCTTTTCAACTTTGTTCATAGTTATTGTCAAATGGAAGTTTCCTATTTTTATGTAATGCAATCTAGCAATTTTCTCTTCTGTGGTTTTGCCTTTAAGGATATGCTTTGAGAAATCCTCCCTTTACACCAAGGTTATATAAATATCCAGTGAGGTTTTTATCTAGTTCTTTTAGCTTAAAGAAGTAAAACCATAAATCTTTAATCCCTGTGGAGTTTAGGCATATGATGTGAGCAGGGTATATTTTTGAGAGACACACTAGGAGGTCCAATTGGCAAGACTCATGTAATGA